GTGCCAGTCCTCTATCCATTTCCTCAATGAATACCGATTTTACTTTTATTAATGTCTGTTTTGTTAGCTTCAGATCATTGGTTAGACTTTTAATCTATGATTTAATAGTTTATTATTATTATTATTATATTTATTTGATTTTTTATTTTTGGTTGGATTTCATTATAGCATATGTAGAGAGAGAGAGAGAGAGAGAGAGAGAGAGAGAGAGAGAGAGAGAGAGAGAGAGAGAGAAAGAGAGAGACAGAGAGAGAGAGAGACAGAGAGAGAGACAGAGAGAGAGACAGAGAGACAGAGAGAGAGAGAGAGAGAGAGAGAGATAAAATTATATATAATATATATTTAAGTATATTATAATTAGAAATAATGTGTAAAATAATTTTTTTTTGTTAGCAAAATAAATGAAAATTTATATTCAATTTTATAACTTAAATTATAGTTTGTTTTATTTTTATTATTATTATTTTATTATATGTTTTTATTATTATTATCATTGTCTGCTTTCTATGGGGAATTAAATTTAATTAAAAATAATGATTATATACAATATATATATATATACTAAATGTCTATTGATTTTATATATATTGTTATACTAATGTATTTGTAATACAGTATATATTGTATGGAAAAAAACTTACTAATAGTAATACTAATTTAATATTATATAGATTTACTGATTATATATATATATATCGGGAATGAAAATAATAATCTTTTTATTTAATCTTTTATTTTCGTTGTTGTTGTTATGTATTTATCTCTATAGTTATATATATATATGTAATAATTAGATAAATAATATTATTTATAAAAAAAAACTTACGATATTTGCTTTATTATTATCATTAATCTTGAGAATCGGATTATGTAATACAGAATTTTCTAATAAAATTGTCGTCAAATTATTATCAATTGAATTCATGATTTTGGTCCTTAAATATCAATAATAATAATAATAATTAGGATGAAAATCGGTAGTTATCTGTATATATATATATAATATTTCTAAATATAATTATATTACTATTACTACTACTACTACTACTACTACTACTTAACTCTAATATTATCGACAAAACAAATAATAATAATAATCTAATTATTTATTATATTTTTTTTTAAACACTAATAGAAAATAAACTAATCTTAAAATAGTCTAATAATATACTATATATACACTATACTATATATATATACTATATATACTGTATATATTTAGTAAATAATCTATTTTTTTAAAAAATAAAAAAACTATTTTTCTGATAAAAATTATTTGTTGTTTTTGTTGTTGTTTTTTCCAAAATATTATGCAATCAAATAAAGTAAGTTTTTTTGTTGTTGTTGTTGAAATTATTATTATTTTTTATTATTATTATTATTTTGCAAGAAAATAATCTGTAAACAAAAAAATAATTAAAAAATAAAAATTTTAGTTATATATATTTTTTTTAAAAATAAACTAAATGAAAAAATAACTTTTAATAACTAAAAACAATATATACTTTTCTCTATAATGTTTAATATATATATTTTTAAAAAACTTTAATTTAAACTTTAATAACTTTTTTTTAAAAAAAAAGTTATTAGAAATTTTTATAAATACGATATTTTTAACAATAAAAAAAATATTATACAATTTTATCTACTATTATATTACTAAATAAAATATATTTTTTTAAATATTAAGTAATTTTAAACATTATTAAAACTAATATATAATCATTAGATTGTAATTATAAATATATTATATATTAGTAATTAATTAATTATTTAAAAAAAATAAATAATTATAATAAACATACTATAATATAATAAATAAATTAATATTGATATAAAAATAAATTTTAAAATTAAAAATATATAAATAATTAGTTTACATACTGTTTACAAATTGATTTGACCTGGACACTAAAATATAAACACACACTATATTATATTAATAAACTAATTTGTGACAATTGTGATCATAAAATATAATTTATTAAATAACTTAAAAAAATTTTAGTTGCAATAATAAAATTAATTAATTAATTTTTCCATACATACAAAAAAGGTTTATATTTTCAAGTTTATATGAAGGTTACTTGAAAAATTAACAAGTACAAATATGATAGTATTATTATTAGTTAATAATAATAATAATATTAATGATGATAATGTTAATTTTTTAATGCAAAAAATTATATATATATATATATATATTATTTTCCACTGGTAATGATTATAATATAAATAATATTTACTATAATATATATGTATAATAAAATCAAAAAATATTTTATGTTAATTAAACTTTTTTTGTTGTTGTTTTAAATGTTATACTAAAATATTTCAATATTAACACACAAAAAACAAAATTTAAAAATTAAAATAAAATTTTTTTGAGTACTATATGTACTAGTTTTTAGATTTTCAAAAAAAAAATAAATTGTGAAATTTTACATACAATATATATACTAGTATATTTTTACAACATCATAATATATATATAATACTATTGATACTAATACTAAAAAAAATTGTCAAGGTTGATTTTTTGTTGAAAAAATTTAAACCAACAAAAAAAATTACACATATATTTGATAAAATATTTTTTTTAATTGTTGCTAAAATTAAATAACACACAAATTTTTTGAATTTTTTAAAATATTATTTTTTTTGTTAATAATTCATATCACATAATCATTATATATATATATATATAGACAGTATATATACTGTATTGTGTGTGTATATATGTATATGATATATATGTACAAAAAATAATAATTAAGCATACACAATTTTTCTAAAAATAAAATATCATATGAACTTTTTGTTTTTATTTAAATTTAATATATGTCACAATTATATATATATATATATACAGTATATATTAAATATATAGATATCCAGTATATATATATATATATATATTATTTTTTATCTAAAAATCGTGATTATTATTATATTAACATAAAATGTTTTTTTCTGGTTATTATTTTTCAATTTAGTATTTAATGATATTTTTATTATAATTAGGTTTACGTTTTTCGCTAATAATTTTTTTTGTTTTTGTTATAATATTTTTTTTTTGTAAATAAAATCATTTGATAATAATTGAGGGCCGGACAGGTAGGTTTGGTTAGATAGCTTGTCTCCTATTGGCTAATTGGTAACAAAAATTATTATTAAATGACATAATTGTGTGTTGAATTTATTAATGTATTTTTAAAAAGAAATATCATATGTCTATACATACAGGCGTCACAAAAATTTATTATTATTATTAGTATTTCTAGTACTTTAGCTAAAAAAATTTAATATTTACGTAATAATAATAATAATAATAATAATAATAATAATACTTATAAAAAAATTGTTTGAATAAATATAATATTTATTTATCATATAATCATCAAAAAAATATTATTGTTATATACTATTACTAGTATTATTATTATTATTATGTAAATAAATATAATAATTTTTATCTAACATATTATATTACTACTAAATTCAATATATATATATATATATATTTGATAAATTATTAAATATATGATAAATTATATATATGTAAACAATAATTTAAGTACAATATTATTATATTTTATTATTATGCTAATAATTGTAATAATTAATAGTAGTAATAAAACTATACAATTATTACTGGTGTTTATATTAAATAAATAATTTTTTCTATCAATACTAACATATAATTTAAATAATTATTATAAATTCCTAATATTAATAATATATTTATTTTATCATTAATAATATACAGGTATTTATTATAAATTAAAATATTTATATAATTATTAATTATTGTTATTATTATTAAAACAACTTATGATTTATTGTGTTTATCATATAAACACAATTGTATAATATAAACAATTAAAAAATATCTATTGCATTAAATTAACTAAAATTTGATTAATAATACTAATTATTAATAATAAAATTATTTTCACTAATTAATATTATTTGTATTAAATTTTGAATAAAATTATTATCTTAAAATAATATTTATTAAAGATAACAAATTTCTGCTTAAATATAATTTTAAAATTTGACTATAAAGTGTAAATACGATATACATATATTATACTATCAAAAATAAAATTACAAAAATATAATTACATTATGAATGTATTTAAAACAATACTATTTATAAATATATATATATTTAAATATGGAATAATTTTTTTTTGTTGCTAACCATATATATATATAAATTATATACTGTATTTGATTTCAATATAAATAAATATAGTATCAACTTACAAAATTTAAAACAAAAACAAATTAAAAGCTAAATATCAATTTAATATAATATTAAATTAGTATTGAACTTAATAAACAATAAATTAAATAATAACATTAAAACATTATTATTATTATAATTATTATAAGTTAATATAAAAGTAAAATATAAATTCATATAAAAAGCATAATAACATCAAATCAAATAAATTAAATAGTTAAATAATATTATTATTTTTAAAAATAATTATTTATTAGTACGTAAATTATATAATTAAACATAATTATTACCTTTATGATTTTATTAATTGATCCCGTAAGTAAATAAATAAATAATTATTTAATTGAAATTAATTATTTTTTTAAACTTTAATTCAAATTAAACTTTTTAAAATTTTTATTATACACTGTTTTGTTTAAATTAATCAAAATATTAATAAATGATAATTTATTTATTTTTTGATAATAAAATCACTATACAAATTAAATTTTTGTTGAAAATAACTGTTTAATTTTTGATAATTTTTTGTTGAAATATATTTATTTGTATTATTAAATACAATCAGTAATCACACATTTACTGTACAATTACAGTATGCAATGCAATGAAATAATTTTTTTTTTCAATGTTTATTAACATTATTGGCAAACATATACTGTATTTTTGATTATTATTATTATTATTACAGTAATATAATACTAATAGTTAAATAAAATATGATTTTTTGTTTTATATATATATATCAATAGACTTTAAATAATAAATTTTTAATTGGATGTAAAATTAATTAGTTAATTATTTCTATATTTTTTTAAAAAAATTAACTTAAATTTTTAAATTTAACTAATTATAATTTTTTTACTCTATTTAGTTAATTACTAATCTAACATAATTTTTTTATATTTAATTATTATTTAACTATAATTTTTACTATTCATCTATATTTTATATAAATAGTTTTATATAATTAATAAAAATATCAATTAATTAATAATAATTTTTTATTCAATAGTTTTTTAATATTATTGTTGTATTTTTAGTTTTGTTTGTTATTTCAAATATATATATATAATTATAATAGTTTTCAAACATATAGTCAAACTGGTTATGGTTTGTCAGTTATGGAGCACTGGTATTATGATAATCATTACCATTATTATCGGTACTATTTAACACCTGATTAATCCAATCGGTATAATAGCCGACACGTGTGTATATACCGGGCATACGAGGCATACCGCAGCCAATACCTGCGGTAACTATACCGATAAGTACTGGCCAAAGATTTCCGCTCATATGTATCAGCGGACCGCCCGAATCGTGTTGACAGGCATCGCGACCTCCCTGTTCATCGCCGCCGGCGCACAGCATACTGTCCCCAATGACTATCTCATCGGTAAACGCCTGGACTTCACGACTACAATCCGTATTATTCCAGACACGGATCACCAGTTCCTGTAGTATTTCGCTTTGTTTGGCCGATTTGTATACTGGATCCTCGGTTAGACCCCAACCCAATACACGAACCGACTGTCCCTCATAGCTATCATTGTTATTAGACTTATGTATAATTATGGGCATAATATTGTTGTTATCAAATACTACACTCCTACCCGACGGCTGCGGCACCTTTAGCTTAACCAATGCTATATCATTGAGTTTAGTATCCGTATCATAGCCGGGATGTATGACTACCTGATCAATCCGGTACTCATTACTACTACTACTACTACTACCCGTTTCCTTATGGTTAACACTCATCATCGATGATGATTTGAATGTATGTGCACCCAATCGGACAGTTAGGTTGTCTATGGGTGAGCTTAACTGATCGAAACAATGGGCTGCGGTCAGTACATACTGGGCCGCTATTAGCGAACCGCCACACCAGGGCATCGGGCCATGGGATGGCCGATCCATGATAGCGGCCATCCATCGATATGTATGTCGGCCAGCATTACGACCGCCCAAAACATAGGGTATATTGACAATGACTGGTATTTTATTAGACTTTTGAAATTAATTATTAATTTTTTGAAAATAAATTAATTAATTAAAATAATAATAATTAATAATAATTTAATTGCACTGTACCTGATGTGTGCTATTAATTAATAATAGTATTATTAATAATATATTTAATACAATTAAAATACAAATTATATGAATATTATTTGTTAATAACATTATTATTATTATTATTATTATTATTATTATTATTATTCAAATACTAATATTTTAATTTAGTTATTATTCAACAGTAATATACTATATGTTTAGTTTTTTATAATTTATAAATAAAACATTTACTGTATAAATATAATGTTTTATTTAAATAATTGTACTTGTATGTATTTTTTAAAAAAAAAATTATTAATTGATAATTTATAAATATTAATATATATATGTAATTATTATATTCAAGGTAAAATATAGAGTACAAACAAATTCATCATCATCATAATTATTTAAAAAATAATAATAATAATTTAAAATAATTACAAAAAAAAATTTTATATACAAATAATAGATAATAACTATAAATAAACTATTACTTAGAAAATATAATATTTTTTTTAGTTTATTTATATATATAAATACATAATTATGATAACATTTAATTAATTATTTTATTTTTAATAATGATTACTATCTACACTATACTGTATACTAATTGCCAGTAGTTATGGGCACCGTTATATTATTATTATTATTATTATGGGCACCTGTATCACCCTGATGCATCGTCTGATTAATCCAATCGGCATAATAACCGACTCGTGTATAAATACCGGGCATACGAGGCATACCGCAGCCAATACCAGCGGTAACAATACCGATAAGTATTGGCCACAGATTTCCGCGCATATGTATCAGCGGACCGCCCGAATCGTGTTGACAGGCATCGCGACCTCCCTGTTTATCACCGCCGGCGCATAGCATACTATCCCCGATGACTATCTCATCGGTAAATGCTTGGACTTCACGGCCGCAGTCAGTATTATTCCAGACACGGATCACCAGTTCCTGTAGTATTTCGCTTTGTTTGGCCGACCGGTAGACTGGATCCTGGGTTAGACCCCAACCCAATACACGAACCGACTGTCCCTCATAGGTCCCCATACTATTATCATCAATAGTTATAGCTATAACTGTATCGGAAAGTTTAGCTACCGGTTCTCTCAACTTAACCAATGCTATATCATTGAGTTTAGTATCCGTATCATAGGCCGGATGTTTGATTACACTATCAACCCGGTGCTCACTACTACCCGATTGCTGATTGAAATCTAATAAACGGGTCCGAAATTTATGCGCACCCAACTGGACAGTTATGTTGTCCAGTGATGAGCTTAACTGATCGAAACAATGGGCAGCCGTCAGTACATACCGGGCCGATACTAGCGAACCGCCACACCATGGCATCGGGCCATGCGATGGCCTGTCCATAATGGCGGCCATCCAGCCGTGTGCCTCCCTGTCCGCATCGTAACCGCCCATAACCTCTTGTATAATATTGACCGGACGTTTGGTACTATTCTATAGTAGTATTAGTAGATATATATATAGATATTTAATTTGTTTAAAAAAGACTAAATAAATATAATTTAATTTTTTTACAAAAATATATATCATATATACTGTACCTCCCGTCCCATACAACTAATACTACTACTACTAGAAATTATTAGTAAAATATTTATTTGTAAAATATTATTAATAATTATATTATTTATTATTAATAACATGATGTAAAGTACAATAACACACACACACACACAAAATTAATTTTTAATAAATTTTTTGATTTAGAAATTAATATTAAATATTTTACTAATAAAAAATATATGTATTTAATTTATTTATATAATTTTGTATGAGTGTGTATGTGTGTGTATGTATGTGTGTGTGTATGTGTATGTATGTGTGTGTATGTCTGTGTATATATGTGTGGTTGTATATGTGTATGTATGTGTGGTTGTATATGTGTATGTATGTGCATGTATGTATGTATGTATGTATGTATGTATGTATGTATGTGTGTGTGTGTGTGTTTAATTATTCAAGGTAAACTATTAACCATTAAAAGCTAGTGTTTTATGATTTATGCAATTTTTTCATATATAATATTTAAATTGATATTTAATAAATAATTTTTAAAAAAATAAATATTACTTAAATTTATTTTACATTTACATAAATATTCAGTAAAAAATTTTCAAAACTTAATAAAATGTAAATTATTTAATAATTATTAGATAAAATTAAGATATTTATCATTAAATATGAATATTATTTATTTAATAAAAAAAATTATTAAAAACATATTTCACGTAAGTTTTCACTTTAATATTTATAACATTTATAATAACAAATTTTCAATTTATTATTATTATTATTATTATTATTATTCAAATTAAGCATTACTAAATAAATATTTAATAACTTTAAAAAAATAGTTTAAGCAAAAAAAATATGAAAATATTTTCTCATTAATAAATTAAGTTTATTTTTAAATACATATACTGTATATACAGTATATTCAACTATATATAGTAGAAATTATATTTTTTTTAAATATGAATAATTTAATAGTTATTAACTATTAATTGCTAGTTTGATATACTGTTTGTAGCAATTAATAGTTATATAGTTATATATATATATATATATATAAATTTATATATGTATGGCACCGGTATGTCAGTCATATCTTATCATCGATTGATTAATCCAATCGATATACTGGTTAACCCGGGTATAGATACCAGGCATACGTGGCAAACCACAATCAATACCAGCGGATACAACACCAACGAGCACCGGTAGTAGCTGTCCATTGTTGTCGTCTACAACAATCGTAAACAATGGTCCGCCCGAATCATGCTGACAGGCATCTTGACCTCCCTGGTCACGGCCACCGGCGCACAACATAGTCGGTACTATGACTATGCCGTCGCCAAACGCTTCAATTTCACGACTACAGTCCACATTGTTCCAGACCTGGAGATCCAGTTCCTGTAGTAATTCACTTTGTTTAGCCTGACTATCGACTGATGGATTCTGGGTTAGACCCCAACCCAATACACGAACCGACTGTCCCTCATAGCTATCCAATAGTGTGAGTTTTATTGGCCGAAAACCACCACTACTACTACTACTATCTACCGGTGCTCTTAGCTTAACCAATGCTATATCATGTAGTTTTGTATGGCTATTATAGCCAGGATGGCTGATAATATGGTCAACCCGGTGCTTAGTACTACCAGCACCACCACCACCACTACCATCTGGTTTGAACCAATAACCACCTAATATGACTGATATATCATTGATAGTATAGCTAATATCGAAACAATGGGCAGCCGTTAGTATAAACTGTCTGGTAATTAGCGAACCGCCACACCAGGGCATCGGGCCGTGTGTCCGATCCATTATGGCGGCCATCCACGGATAGGCACCCGGTTGGGCATCATTGCCGCCCACTATAAACGGTTTCGGTGGCGGACGACTACTACGGCGCCGGCCATTATCTATGTGTTTGTGTATATGTGTTGATAATATCATTGATATTATTATTATTATTATTATTTTAGTTTATATATATACCGTATATACAGTACCTTTAGTATTGTCAGTCAGTATTAGTTGAAGTATTATTAGCGGTACTAATAGCATACCTGAGCTTTGAATTAGTGGGAGTTGGAGGGGGTTTTAAATTTTTTTTTTTTAGTTATTAAATATGGTTTTTTTAATAAATATAAATTTATGTAATTTAGTTTTTTGTTGTTGTTGTATATTTAATAAATAAATACTTTATATATATATATATATACACAAACATATATATTATATATACGATATATATATAGTAATAATATAATAATATTAATATTGACAATACATGTATATATATATATATGATAAATATAATTTTTCTACATTTACTTATCAATTAAAATAAAAACCATATTTGTTTATTATTTAGTAATAATTTATTTGTTTTAATTAAAAATATATATATTTGTCAAAAAATTTTTTTTAAAAAAAACATAGTATTTATACAAACAAATTCAAAATTTCCAACAAATAAAAACATTGTATTTTTCCAACCCTATATATAATATAGTAATTATAGTAATATTGAATAGTAATATAATATTAATTTATTCAACTATAAATAAACTATTATTATTATTATTATTATTATTAATAAACTATTAGTTAGTAATACTGTATTTATATTATAATTTATTTTTATTAGTACAATATATTTCTAACTATTACTAACGGTTAGATATTTTAAATAAAAAAAATAAATAACTAAAAATTAGGAACTGTATAGTCAATAGTTAATAGTTAATAATACTATAATCAGGGTTTTTAAAAAAATAAATAAATGACAGTCATAAACAATAGATGCCAAATTTTTTATTGCAAAAATATCTGTCATGTAATGATTTTATATTTTTTAAAAATTAATTTATAAAACATTATTTCTATCCATATATTTGTTTGTATAACTTTAATTAAAGAGTAATTATATTATTAATAATAAATATTAATTGTAAATTTAATTTAATACCATAAAAAAAACATTAAATTACATTATTATTTTTAAAAAAAATATATATATAATTGATTTTAATTTGCAATTAAAAATTTTAATGAAAATAAAGTAGATGCCCAAAATGCCTGGGCATTTTATTTAAATGGGCATCGCCAGGGGTGGGCAGGCATTTTTTATACTTCCTTAAAACCCCTGAATATACTGTACTAATAATAATAATAATAATAATAATAATAATAATAATAATAATAAAACAGTCAAACAAACACATCAACCGATTGGTTAGTTAACCGACGGTACGATTATTACCGATAGATAGTGTGTTTGGGAGAGAAAGAGAGAGAGAGAGAGAGAGAGAGAGAGAGAGAGAGAGAGAGAGAGAGAGAGAGAGAGACAAACAAATTGTATGAATGAATAAAAGTATTAATTGATTGATTGGTTTATTAATTACCGACTGACCCGACGGCACGATTACCGAGAGATAGATAGAGAGAGAGAGAGGACATCATCGGCCAGAAAGACAAATGAAACAAAATATGTGGACAAAAGCCGAACGAAGTTTAAAGCTATTGAAAGCATTGTCGTCGGCCGACAAACAAGTGGCCACTAATTGTTATTTGGATAGCAAAGTGATGGCGGCGGACAACAAACATGAGTTATCGCCGCCGCCGCCGTCACCGATGGTCACGACTACTAGATGTCAAGGCCAGCAGCAGCCGTTACCGGCGGTAATGATGGCCATTGATTCATCATCTTCTACGCCAATGATGGTTACCATCGATGATGATGTCCGACAACAACTACTACTACAGCAATCGTCTTCACCGACGACACGTCATCCGCGGCAGCCGTCCGCCCGGCCTATCGGTAATGGTGTCGGCGTCGGCGGCACTGCTAATACTAAACGCTTGATATCTACCCGAAAACCAATCAAACAGCGGGTATTTATAATCAAAAATACCGGCAGTGATGCCGATGATGATGATGACTATGACTGATGATATTTAATACCAGGGGGCCGGGGATGGGAGGGGAGGGGAGGGGTCGACCCGAAAAAAAAATTACATACAAATTAAAAACTTTTTTATTTATGATATATATATATACTTTTGAAATTGAAATTCAATACTATATATTAGTGTCTATAAAATGTGTACAATATATATGAAAATTTTTTTTATGTTTATTATAATTATCGGTAAATGTATTATTAAATGTAATTTTTATTTTGTTTGTTGAAAATTAAATAAAATTTAAGTAAATTTTTTTTTGAATATATATATATATACTATATATATAAATCTCATGAAATGATAATAATTATAATTAATAAATCAATACAACAATTATTATTATTATTATAGCGATTAAAAAACAATATATAAATTGTTTTAAAAACATTATTTATGATAACAATAATAATTGAAATTCAAATGTTTTAACATTTATTAAAAAAAATTATTATTTATTTAAATACTTATCAGTATTATATCATTACAACAATTTTTTTAGTTAGCAATTAATTGATTTTTTTTGACATCAAATATGAATATGTATTCAAATAGAAATCTTAATTATCTTTTAGAAAGTTTATGGTCATCATCATCATCGACATCATCATCATCATCATCGGTGGTAATGATCATATGGTTGATGACAGTCATCATAATCACTGGTAATGTCGTCATAAGCAATGGTAACGACAACAACAATATGTGTCAACAGTTGGCACCAAACGGCCGATTCAATAGCTATTATATCTATAGACAATGGTATCGGTTGGACACACCTAATGTTGGGCCAAAATTTAATACATCCATACAATTGATATCAATTGGTAGCTCAGATACAGTAGCCGAATGGACAGTCCGTTTAGATTATAACCCGAAAAACACGGACCAAATTATCGGAAACTTATCGTTAATTCAAAGTACAAGAGATGAGAAACTAAATAATAATAATATTAATAATAAAACCGTCAAAAAGTTTTCGGGAATTATAAAACATTCATTCAAAGAAAAAGTTGTCTATAATTGTTATATTCAATCAACGGTTAGTAATAATTATAATTAAAATACTTAAAAATTAAAATTAATTAAATTAATTAATATATATTCCGTATATATATATTGCACTAATAATTATATGATATATTTATTTTTGATTTTTTTTTTTAATTACCCTAGAAATCTATTATACATGTCTACTGTCAATACAATGATATCAAAACTATTGTAAACATTACCAATAATGCCGACAAGTTTCCCGATTATAATAATACATACATTGTATTGAGTCCCAGGGTTTATGCCGATACCGATTATTCGGGTGTTTACTGGCTATACAGTCCAACCACTAGATACGCTACGTCAATCAATTGTCAGATAAATTATCCGGGTATATTATTTATTATGCAATTGGATTGCCATGAAATTAGTTCAAATCGACCAGCATTTCTGATGGATCAGTTAGACCATGAATTGTTAGGACAGTTAGTTTCGGTGACCGACATCACTAGCCATGCATTGTATGGCAATTACTATATACTATGGTTTCTGATCAACAATAATAGTAAGGCTATGTATTGTGTGTCACCTGATACTAAATTATCGGTAAAGGTATCGGTATATGTTATTAAAATTAATTATTTTTGTTATAATTAACTATCAATTATAATATATTGTTTTATTTTTTAAAAAAAAAATATATATATTTAAAGTGCAAATCAATTAAAACATTGACACAGTTTATGCCAAACTGTCCGATCAATAGTGACGACAATAACGACAACAAAATACCGGAAACTAATGATGAAAACTATATTAAAAAAATATTAGTTATAATACTTTTAAGTATTTTGCTATTAATTGCTATTTTCGTCGCTATTATTGTTATTATAGTATTTTTTGTTAATAATAATAATACTAAAAGATATCGACAACAAAAACAAACAAAACAATCGTTAAAACCGTTTGGCACTACTATTGAACCGACGATTAATACCCGGGAATTGGATTCAATTAAGTGTAATACTAGTAGTAAAACATCAAAATTATATTTTTAATTTCAGTAATTTTTTCTTTGTATATAAAAAAAAATCCATTATTAGTGTTAACTATTTAATCAATTATTTTGTTGGTTTGTTATATATTTTAGTTTTTATTCATATTTATTGATTGAATTGTTTTTTTTTTAATATAATAATAATCTATTGCTTTAACAAACTTTTTAATTAAAATTAACAACAATTATTATTATAGCGGCGATTAAAAACAATACATAAAAATTGTTTTAAAAAAAACATTATTTATGATAATAATAATAATAATAATAATAATAATTGAAATTCAAATGTTTCAAACATTTATTGGTATATCAGAAAAAAATTATTTAAATATTACAACAATTTTTTTTAGTTAGCAAATAAAATTAATAGCAATTAATTGATTTTTTTTTAAAAACATCAAATATTATAATATGTATTACAATAGAAATCTTAGATATTGTTATCGTTTACAATGTTTGTGGTCATCATCGATGATAATCATTGAATTTATCCTAATTAAAAAACTAATATATTATTTTAAAAATTTATTAATTTATTATTATTAATATACTGTATATTTTTTGATAAATTTATTAATTAATATATATATTTATGTATATATATATATTAATCTCATGAAATAATAATAATAATTAGCATTGTATTTCCAATATCAACAATTATTTAACAATCAAAATTAAAATTATTTAAATATTATTTATGCTATGCAATAATAATTTATAAAATTGTTTTACATTTAGTATAAATTTAGTATAAATTTATTAAAATTATTCAAATAATTGTATTATATTACATGACTTTTTTTTGTATAAATAAAATTAGCAATTAATTTGATTATATAAAAAAAATCAAATCTATATATATATATGTATAACAACTATTGTTGGTCATCATCGGTGGTCATCATTGTATTGACAGTAATACTGTTGTCGATGACAGTCGTCATAATCACTGGTGATGTCGTCGAAAGCAATGGTAACGACAACGACAACAACATCGACAATGTATGTCAAGATTTGGCACCAAACGGCCGATTCAATAGCTATTATGTCTATAGACAATGGTATCGGTTGGGCACACCTGATAGGCCTATATTTAAGACATCCGTAC